GCACAGACCCAGGGCGGTGCCCTCCTGAGGTCGTCCAGGCGGCCTCGGCTATCTTCCTGGCCTCGTGCGGTTGAGCACAGCGGGAAAGTAGAGTCCCCCTCGACAGAGGGACTGATTGCCGCCCTGGACGAATGCACTAGGCTCTGGAGCAGGCAGACTGTGGCCTCCAGCTCCGTGGCACTGCCAGGCCGCATTTTGTGCCTTAAAGACGGAATAAAGGTTCTGGCTGCCTCCGTCTGGGCCTCCTGCAGGTTTCAGCCCTCTGAGCCCACTTCTGGGAGGCAGTGCCTGGCGCTCTGCCTGCTGCATGCGGCCCCATGGCCAGCAGGGGTAACCGTGCCGCCCTGCAGCGGGGCCTTCGGCCTGGGAGATGCCTGCCTGGTCCAGGTCTCTTTCCAGCCCGCACCTGCTCCCGTGCCTTCCTGCTTGGGGTCACACTGGCCAGCCTCCATCCCCTGAAGCTCAGAAACGACAGCTCACCCACAGGAAAGTGGGACCCTGCTCACCTCGGACCTGCTGCTGCCCTCCTCGGGCCGCCGGGGACGCAGTCCTGAGCTCCTGGCATTGCTGCTCCCGTCGGCACCGCTGTGCTGTGCCACGTGCACGAGTGGTTCTGTGAGCCTCACACACCTCCTTCTTTTCTCTCCACTTGGCCAGGAGGCCCCAGGACAGCGGTTCTCAACCTGTGGGTCGCGACCCCTTTGGTGGTCGAACGACCCTTTCACAGGGGTCGCCTAAGACCATCCTGCATATCAGACATTTACATGACGATTCATAACAGTAGCAACATTACAGTTATGAAGTAGCAACGAAAATAATTTCATGGTTGGGTCACAACATGAGGAACTGTATTTAAAGGGCCAGAAGGTTGAGAACCACTGCCCTAAGAGGAGAGGGTCCCCCCAGAGGAGGGCTCTGCAGCTGTCCTTGGTTGTGCCCTCATATCAGGACCGCCATCTGCTCGTCAGGCCTCACAAGGCCAGGCTGCTGCGGGTGGGGGGCGGGGGCGGGGGCGGGGAGCTGGAGCGGGCCTTGCCGCTGGTGGGTGTGAATGGCCCAGGCTGTGGAGTGTCCCTGTGCCCTGAGTTTGCAGAGGAAGGGTGTCCAGGGCCCGGACATCTTCAGGCTCACACGGGACACAGGCCCTCAGGGGTTGGACTAGTCAGTCTGGTGCTGAAGTGTCTGCCCTTAATGAGCACGTGAGGGGTCCCTGGGCCGGGAAGGCAGGGGCAGGGCCAGCCCCTGAGCAGCTCGGAGAAGCTCAGCGTTTCCAGGCGACCCTGGCGTCCTGGGGCTGTCGGGAGGTCGGAGTCCCATGAGCATCTCCCCCGTGGCTGGTACAGTCACCGCGCCTGGATGGGCACCTGGTGCCAGAGACGAGGGAGGGGTGCAGGCACAGCCCCTGCACGTGCGGAGCTTTGTGGGGAGTGAGGGGTGTCGAGAATCAGGCCTTCACCTGGCCAGCCTGGCTCAGCGGTAGAGCGTTGAGCATGCACCAGGACGTCACAGCTGATGCCTGGTCAGCACGCATGCCCAGGTTCCAGGCTCAATCCCCAGTAGGGGGCGTGCAGGAGGCAGCTGATCAATTCTTTCATCGATGTTTCTTTCATCTCTCCCGTCCTCTAAAATCAATAAAAACATGAGAATCAGGCCTCCAGTGTGCCCTGCCTCCCACAGTTCACGAAGCATCCATCTGCCCTGCAACACCTGTTGGGTAGGCCAGGGGCTGGGCTGGGGCCAGAGGCGGCGTGGGCTGTGCTCCATAGCCAGCCTTGGGGTGTCCAGGGCACCAGGAGGTTACACAGGGCTCACCCAGCTGAGGAGTCCGGGTGCTGGCTGCCCGCACAGGTGGGCCTGGAAGGTGGGGGGGAACAGCATCCTGTGTGGAAATGGGGGGCTGCGTGTCTGAGGATGAACCGAAAATCAAAGGGGTCACAAAAATGGGCAAAGGCTGAGAGCGATTTCATTTACTTTTGAAAACAGTTCCTGTTCACAATTCAAAGGCGCAGGCGGTCTCTAAGGGGAGCGCCGATGACAGGCGGGTAAGTTCCCGGAAACCCACCCATGAGCAGGTCAGAGGTGCCCCCCCTCCCGCTAGTCCCGTCACAGAGCATTCGTGACTCAGAACCAATGACTCAGCTTTTGGGGAATCGTTGGCCCTGGGACTTTGGTCTCCAGGGCACTGTCCCAGGAGGAAATGACAAGCTCAACCCGGGCAGCAGGGGCCTCTGCCAAATGCACCCCCTTTGTCTGGAGGAGCTCTCGGCGTCCTGCCTCCTGGGGGGCTGCGCTGTGCTGGTCACGCCATTTACATGGGAAAGAAAGCGCCATCCACCGTGGCGGGGGAGGGGGGGGCAGGTGCCAGCCCAGCCTTCCCGCGTGCAAGGGGCCTGCTGGGCAGCCGCGGCCCAGGGCATCACAGAGCAGTGGGCATGGTGGCCGGCCGGGTGGTCAGTCCTCGGGAGCAGCCTTTGTGGGGCCCGTGATGCGCTGCCTCCAGGGTCTCCTCTGTAAGTGGGGGACGCACCCCCACACCGCACCCCCACACCGGCCCCTCAAGCCAGTGCACCTTCCGATCAGTGGCTTCTCTGAGGTGTCGCCCGCAGCGCCGGGCCGGGCCTGAGCGTCCGCACTCCTAGCGGCCTCCTTGCAGGATGGCTGATGCCGCAGACCCCAGGCCACCGTGACGAGCACACGCCCTCCCATTTGACAGACGGAGTGAGCTGCTGGCCTCACCGCCGGCTCCTGCCCTGTCCCTTCAGCCTCAGGTTCGTCCCTGAGGTGCTGTGATAGGGGCGTCACTTTAGCATAAGTAAATCCCAATCAGTATTTGTGTTGCACTAAACATTTAGTGGTTCATCTGAAACAAAACTGGCTGGTATTCCTGGCCGGTGTGGCGCGGCCGTTGAGTGTTGGTCCAGGAACCAAAGGTTGCCGGCTCAGCTCGATCCCTGGTCAGGGCACATGCCTGGGTGGCGGGCTCATCCCCCGGGGGCTGTGCAGGAGGCAGCCAGTCGATGCCCCTCTCCCATCCACGTTTCTCTCCCTCTCCCTTCCTCTCCTAAAACAACAACACACTAGCTGGCGTCCTGCTTCTTATTGGCTAAATCTGGCACCCGGAGCCTCCCTGAGCCCAGCCGGGCTGCGGTGCCCTTTCCTGGGTGTACAATGGGCGCAGTAGCACCTGCCCGTCTCCACTCCCAGCGAGTGGCCCGCGGCACTGCTTGCTGCCTGGACTCAGAATCTGGGTTCCGACAGCCCGGCGCTGCCTGGCCAGGCACTGGCACCGAGGCCCGGGCCAGTGCCTGGCCAGGCAGCACCCCACCCTGACCTCGGACTGGCTGCAGTCTGATGGCCCGGAGACGCACAGCCAGCCCTCGACTCCCACGCTGGCTGCCCGTCCACACGGGCTCCCCTGACCCCCAGAGGTTCCTGTGCTGGCGGCTGGCCCCTCGCCCCCGCCTCCTGCACTTGGGGACTGGGTTCAGGGCCAGGTCGCTCCTGGGCCTCTCCAGGAGGCACCCGTTTTCAGTTATTAAACTTGTCAAGTCTGGCAGCAGACCTAGCACAGTGCAGGGGGAGCTGGGGACCGGGCAGCTCGGCACTGACGGTGGCAGGGGAGCGAATCCGAACCCCCAAGGCGTCAGTGCGAGGATCCGGTAAGCAATCCGTGCATCCTCGACTGCCCACGGGGGAGCTGAGCACGCACATGGGGCCATAAAGGTGCCACTCTGACACACTCACCCCAGGATCGAGTCCTCATTTAAGGAAATCGATGCAAAATGAGGAAATACAGTGAGATCCAAAGACCAAAGACGTCAACCAGAAACTTACTCATCTAACGAGATAGGGAAACCAGCGAGACGAGTGATGGCCTGTGGGACTCAGCCCAGCAATCAGCAGGCTGATAAGACGCGGAGGGAGGCTGAGTAAGAATCAGGACAGGGGCACGAGGGGTGCAGACGCTGCTGTCAGTGTGAATCTGCTCCACAGCCTGGCAGGCCAGTGCAAAGGGAGCCAAGTGGCAGACTGTGGGTGTCCCAGAGGGGACCCTGAAACTCCATGCCCGGCTCCATTCCTAGGGGTTCCCCAGGGCCACCCTTGGATCGATGGGGTGGGCTGGGCCCCTAGGGCTCCACAAGGGCCACAGGAGCTTGAAGCTGCCCATGTCCTCCACCAGCGCCCG